GATTGAACTCTTCAAAGAATGTTGTTGAAGAGGGTGGAAAGAAGAGAGAAAGATAGATCGAGAGGTAAGAGGAGAAATTCTCTCCCATATTTATTTGAATTGTTATGGATATTTGGAGTTGTGAAATAAAAATGGCAGAGAAAGAGAGAGTAGGTCGCAGAGAAAGTTGTATGTATAGGGATGAATTGGAGAACCATAATTATCCAGGCTTACAAAGGCAGCAGCTGGTAACACTTCTTCTCGCTGCTGTTGCTGTTGCTGTTGCTAGTTTGTGGGTTTTTATTGTTATTATTCTCTTCTTTTTATTATCATACTTTTGTCTCTTTTTTGCTTCTCATTTTATAGTATAATCCGATGAACATTTTACTTGTATTGATGATTTTCCAGAATTCAGTTATTCCTTCTTTTCAATTGCCAATTCTCCATTGTGTTTATCCTTAGTTTCTTTGTCTTGACTGATACGTATCACCAATGCTTCATTCCTTTTGCATTCTGGTTGATCATTTCCTTCATATTTTCTTAGCATTGCGCAGCACAAGTTCATTACTTGATTCTTGGTGCAAGCTTAGGTGATATTGAAAGAATAGTTTTAAGTGTACGAGTTAGAATTTGAATGACGATGATATTGGTTGATGCGGATCATCATTTCCTTTCATTCCCTTTAGTTGATCTCCCGAATTGGGAAATCAGTGAGGATGAAAATTGATAAGTCACCCTCTTTAAGCAAAATTTCCTGTTTCTCATCTTTCAACATTGTTTAACGACCAATTTCCATCTTTGGCACCATGGAAGTAAAACAAGTTCCAGCCTTTGGTGGAAAATTGTTTATGTTCAGCAAGTTTTGGTTGGCCGTAGGTCCGGCTTTCCAGGTAAATTTTGGGGGGTGGGGTTTATTTAAGATCTCTGGTGTCTCCGAGTGATTTCATGATTTCATCCGAGTCCTGAACTTCCGATCGAGGCGACAGGGGCTAATTGAGATCTTTAGTGGGTCCTAAAACGGCCCACTCAATTCAAGTCCCCCCTTAATTAGTGGTGGATTCAATCTGTGACTCAACTTTTATCATTTGATTAATGTTGTTGGGATTAGTCCCATGTGCAAACCCCCTAATATTGGTGGGTTTGAAGTTTTGAATTCAAACCAGATTTCTTCACGCTCACACTTTTCCCCTTTGGAATTTGGAAATGAAACGTTCAACTCCTTTGATGCCACGATTGGTGGCTGGTGCTGTTGACTGTTGCCCCCTGTTCCTCCACATTTTCCCAAAGTGATTGGCAGGAGCTCTTCCAGGCATCCCTGCCTGGTATTCTTTTTTCGGGGGGTCATCTCTTGAAAATTCATCCCTCGCTTTCATGGCACATGCACCATCTGAAAGCGCTTTGGTTGCAGCTGTTATAGATGTCCCTTGCTATCATGGAATGTGAATAGTATGAAATTTAATGGTCTATCAATCAAAATCACTGCTAAATAGCAGCTGCCATCACAACTAACTAGATTATGACAGGCAGAAGAAAACCTTGTTTTTCTTGACAAATATCAGCATCTAAAATACCTCAATGCCAGGCTGCAACCGCGGCAACATGCCAACATCATTGCCAAGCCCACTATTAGCCACAGCAGTTTCATCCGTGCACTTTTCCCGTGGAGCCATTCTCAATTGTAGCACAAAATCTGTCCCCCGATTGAAAGTACATTCCTTCTTCCTAGACTCGGGACTCAATTAAGCACAACTTTTGGGGTCTTCCTCTCGATACCCTACATTGGCAAGTCTCTTTCTGACGGAAAACTCATTTCTGAATGGTTGGGCAATTTAGGGGCAATAGCACAAGTTTTTCCAATTTGGGTTGGGTGTTGCTTTCTTCCAAAAATGCGTTTTTTTCCATTCTTATCAAGTTCTCTTTTGAGAACAGAGAAGAAAGAACACTACTAAACTCCTGTCTGGCACTGATAGGAGCATGTGACTCACCACAACTGTTGCTTTTTTGTACTTTTATTCACCCCTACTTCTGAGATTGGAGGGTGGCTTTGGCCCCTAACTAAATAACGTTAAAAGAAAACAGAAATCTCACTGGTGTAAATCAGAATTTTGCTTTTTTCCTACTGCTAAAACAATCCCATTAATAAAAGGAAAGATGCTGACTTTAATTATTCATTTGTGTTTAATCGTGTCCCCAGCTAATACCTTTCTTCTCCAATTTGCATTATTTTAATGAGTTACATAATCAGTTTACTTGCTCTCGTGATTTTCTGGACTTGGATTGTATTAAAATAAAGGGTAAAAAGTTGTACTCTACTATTCTGCTTTGAGAATAATTAGAAAAAGAGAATGGAACAATAAAGAAAGAAGAGCCGGCTGTGCATATAGCATGACTAGTGACCATAAAGATAATATGAATAAAGAATTCAGAATAAAACCAACTTAAGTACTGGGAACCAAGCTTTATCCTTTCATTCAATCTATGA